GGAACATAACGTAATGCAGTTCGCTGAAACCAACAGACGTTTCAGAGGAACATGTGTCCACATCTTCAGGATCGAAAAATAAACTAAGCAAAAAACGAGAATGAGGCGAGGTACAGAAAGAATTCTGGTTGAATTTCGATGGACTGAAAGGTGTTATTTTCCAGAAGATATAATACTTCGTAATTACCGCTGTGAGAACCTCAAACCCTACAACCTCCTTTTTAGTACCTTCGCAACGAAAAGCTGCAAAGATGTCCCNGTTAACACTACATATACACGGTGCCAAATCCCAGAAGACTGCTTTCTTCATGTCCCTATCGGTTTCCTGTAACTTCCTGATGGATAAGATGAAACACACTGCATGCCCAACACATTTTTCGTTTAATTTTTGGGGTTTGGGGGATAAGTATACAGCACTTATAGATCGCATCAAACTATTACCTTCTACGTGCTGTGACATGAAGCCTGAAGGCCGAAATAGTGGAGCCAGAGGAGACGCCATCGCTAGGCGACGGATCGGTGAACAAATTTCCGCCGCAACGGATACTCAAGCAACAATAGAGGAATTGTTGGAGTGTTTTCTGTTCGGTCCGTACAAAGTGGTAATGAAAAAAGGAGCTAGTAATTTGGGGCAGGGCGGGGTCGGGCGTGGTCGAACACCTCAACAGTATCCATACGAGTCGTAGGATACGACGGAAAGGGAAGTCTCGAATCTGAGACAGTAAAATATGGTCACGAGTTCCACGGGACTCGGACCCGAGAACGACTGCTCTGGCGAGAACCAGCAGGTATAGTAAACGACAGACCCGTCCTCTCGTCAGAGAGAGCGTCCCATATCAACAAACCCCAACTGTCTGACAGTATTAAAAATCTGGTCGTAGGCCCCAGATGGGTGTTTTATTCCAAGACAGACTGACCGACTGACCGCCGGTCGTAATATAAGACACAGACTTAGACATGCGGCTCAGCTGGCAGTCAGGCTGTGAAGAGACTTTACGTGTGCTGTAGTAGAGTATTATTTTGAATGTAAATTCAGTGAGACTGTCGTAGTTCCTGTGTTAAAATCCGCTGCCGGGAAACGGCCAGTAGAAACTGTAATAGACTGAGGACATTAGTCTGTATTTGCCAGTGAACTGTAAAGTTTGGTTTCGAGTTGTTTATAGAAGTGGTTAATAAGTTTATTCACCAATCCAAACCCGTCTGTAGTCACTACAAATCATGACGATACATTTTCTAACTTTCTACATGTTCGTAAAGCGTGTTTATACACGTATATTGTACCCGACTTAGGAAAAAAGGTCATATGAAAATGAAATTATAATAAATTACAGTGCTTGCTGATTTAACTGTTAACCTTATGTTGTGACTGAAAACAAAAGAAAACTAGAGCTTAAAAAACCGAATGTGGCCATCAACAAATGACGGTGATTCAGCATTACAGAGATTTGCATAAACACTATTTTCATATTTTGACGTCAGTTCCTTTATTACGTGTTTTACCGTTGAGCAGTGGCGGCTTGTAATTTTTCTTATGCAATGTTGATTGATTTTTGTGTTATTTAATGTCACTGTATCAACAGTGTAAATTATACAACTTCAGCTGAGATAGCTAGATAATCATAAATGGTGAAGAGATAAGGATTTGGAAGGAGTCTACGGTGGCGGAATTTGTCTGGAGAGACTGAGACAAACTAAATACCCAGTGATGGTTACTAACCAGGCCGAAGTTAGAACAGAGTGGCTCCGGAATACAAGACTAGAACGCTGCCGCTATGTTAGCCTGCCCGGGTGTCAACAAGTACAAGCAGGAAGAAGAAAATTAGAGCATACGCTGTGATCCTTTATGTGTCATTTATTGTACCACACTGTCAGCATCTCACACAACAATGATTCGTGAACAGTTAATTGGAAAGGCTGCAGAGGGAAGTGGTCGTGGTTTAATTTGAGGTACTCTCCAGAATTTGTCTAGTGGGACTAAAGAAATTGACGAAATACATCAGTGAAAATAGTCAGTACACATGCAGAAATTAAAAAAAAAAAATTGTACGCATACGATTTGTCTGTGTTATTACGCAATTTCAGGTTACCATAGCAACCGACTGTGTCGACTGTTTATATTGTCACGATTTAGTGGTTTGCGCGTGACTTATAAGACGGGTTTTGGATTAGATGATCGGATTTATAGACACCCTGTACACACCACTCGGGACTGCAAGCAATTACAATGCTATCTCTAAACTAGACACTTTATATTCACCGTTACACACGCACTAGGTTTCTCAGTCTTCACTAGCCGTATCCTGGCAACGGATTTATAATAGCCTCACTGTCATTTCAAATCACACCAATCTTCTGTGCACCGCCCAATACCGTTCTTGCCATTATTCTGGAATTGCGAATTCCGAAGACTCGACTCAGTTCAATTCCTCTGCTTCCAAGCTCGTATCCTGGCAGGCTGGCCTCTCGAAGCTCGACTCGTCCGACTACGACTTCTAAAATGAACTCTTCTTTATAATCACTTTGCACGCACCACGCAGAAAACACAGCGCGGCCTGTTTACAGCGCCGTTGCACACTAACGGAAGTTACTCGATTGTTGCCTGCGTATTCGTTGCCACGGAAATGTGTTTACTGAGTCGTTGCGTAGCAATGAACCTCTATTGTGACTACAATATTCCGGCTTTCGGGCATCATGTCACAATACTTTGCCCGAAATAAAAAACTTATGCAGTAGGACATATATGAACGGGCAGTACTTGTTTCAGTGTATCGTATCTATTCTGTGGTTACTGATAACATTTTGTTGTGAATGTATGTATATTCGTGGGAGATGGCGCTAAGCCTGGTTTCCACGTTTCATTCAATAACATGCAGGGCTGCAAAGGAATATGATAGAAAGCAGAATTTAATAGTACGAAGACTTATAACAAATGATTGAATTTTCAACGGGGGTTACCATGATAGGCCCATAATTGTTGGATTTAAAGGACCTTGAAGAAGTAGACAAATAAGTACGATAACGTGAGGAATTCCGACAACCGTCACTGACGCTGATTAAGGTAAGAGCGAAACGAGAGACGCACCCACGAGGGTGGAGTAGGGCTTTGCCTTATTCCTTATGAAGCAAGTAGAAACAGCAAGGTCCTATGCTATTCATAAGAACATAATGCAACATAAAGTTATCAAGTCCAGCCTCTTTACAATGAGACCAGACAGTCTGCAATGTTTGTAACAATGACCCACACACATTCATACCAACTTTACATTTTCATTTCAAACATTTATCATTTCCTATGTATGCCATTCAAATTTATCTTCATGAAATTTGTATAACAGAAAGAGATCATTCACACAAACGAAATCTAGGAAAGTTGCTCAAGTTACCCAACTCTGAGGTCAATCTGTTGGCGCTAGTGATTCGGGAGGTCTGGGATTCAAATCTCAGACAAGACGTCGGTTATCCTGTCTGACATCTTTCATGATCTTTCTCAGTCTCGCCAGGAAAATATAGGACAGTACCTCAAATCAGGCCTCAACCTCTTCCTTCCACATCCATCCAATTAATTATCGACTAATCATACTAATAAGGCTATCGCTCAGAACTGCAAGTGTCTTTATAGCATAAACCAACAATAAATTAAATAAACTGCACATAAAGTGTGGTTCGTTGCACGGGTACCAGTGCTTCATATGAACTTGTTGCCTCCATCGTCAGGGCCATTCTTATAATATGTAGAAGAATTCAGCAGATTCCTAAGAAACGTCGGCACGTATCTATCAATTTACACTGTTCACATCCTAAGATATAGTTGACCTCAGAGCCGGTCTGAATATTGTGGCATGTAGACGCGTTGCTAGCCAACGACCGCGAAACAAACAACTAGGCAACGGCCGTTACTAGGCAGGTAAACAGCAACAGAAGAACGGTGTTTTCTGTGTAGTCCGTGCCGAGATGTTATAAACATGACAGTTGAGTGGAGTGCAGAGTTTGTTGATGAGTTAGTCAGAGAACTGCTGGAGCTTAGACGTTGCGAACTGTTGTTGTGAGAAGCTTGTAGTTGGGCCGGGAACCCTGAGGAAGGGGAACGTCCGCCGTTCGAAGCCGCTACCAAGATACGACAATGAATAGAAACTGAGGATACCTTGTGTGTAACAGTGAACTACGAAGTGTTGTCACGCGCTGTATCAAACAGTATAATAAATCCGATTATCAGTCCAAAACTCGTCTAATCAATAAAATTATGATTATATCATGGGAAAGAGGAATCTCTTCCCCTGTCTGGAATTGAACCTCGACTCTTCGGCCGTCCAAGCCGTAGCCTAGTAGCTATACCGACTGAGCTATCTCGACTCCAGAAGAACTGAGTAAGACGATTGATTATATTCTTTACTCCAGGTTTCCGATCTCGGCGCTGAGAAACCACCCTACTTCCTCTAGTATATAAAGAAGAGGTGCCAACCTCCTCACAACACATCTATTCCTTGATAATTTACAAGCATATTTAACATTCCTATAAAGCGGCCTCCGTAGTCTAGAGGTAACGTTCCCACCTCATGACTCAAGGTACGCGGGTTCAAATACCCGGCGGATGTCGTCGAATTTTTAAGGGCGGAAAAATTCAGGGAACAAGTCCTCCGGGAGGGACTTTAAGCCGTGGGTCCCGTGTCGTAGCTTTACGGCACGTAAAAGAACCTCATATCTCCAAAGGAGGTCACTGAGCCAAATTACGGACGTTTCCCGCCCAACAGCAGTCTCTAATACCTCCGGTAGATGGGGGAAGCATTATAGATACCTCTCAGCTAGTAGAGCCGGTCTCGCTGGCTGGGCGGGACTGATGGTAAGCACCAGTATCGGTAGGATATAGAGACTGGTAGAAATCATAGAGGGAAGCACAATGGACCAATACAGGTCTAAGTGCATGGGGAAACCCACCCTCTCCAATAACTAACTAACTAACTAACATTCCTATAACTTCTAGTACCAATTATCTTTATTTCTAGGAAGGGCTATGTGACGGAAATAACGCCCCCAGCGTATCTTCCATCAGCCGCCTCCTGAGGGGTGGCAGGAGGGATGAGACAGACCTGAAGAAGGATTACAGCATAGACGGAATACTTGGGGGTAAGTGACTGCCCCTTCCTTAGTGCCTAGGAAAGTTTTGGGGCTAGGCCTTTCAAGCATAATGGTCAGAATATGTACCGCCTCCCTTTGGTTGAGGCGCTGTTACAAGCCGGAAGCCTGCGGGTTTTGTTTCCTGATGAGGTCATTGGATTTTTCAATTGACCTAAACCTTCCAGCCGAACTATGGCCCTGGGGTCGATTCTGCCTCTAACAGAAATGAGTACAAGGGATCTTTCTGGGGGTAAAGGGCGGCCGGTGCGTAAGGCTGACAAACTTACAGCCATCTGTGAGCCGATTGTCTAGAATATGTGGGAGCCTCAACATTTCACAACACTATGGACCTCCACGGCCTGTACAGGGATTGATTTACTTTTTCTTTTAACTTCACCACTCCTTTAACATTAAGAACTCCGCATTTTGCTCATGGATTTAAGGACTTCGTAGTCAAAGATTTACATAACAATCTCAGCATGACAGAATATGTCGTCAACTAAGAAGAAACCTGAAGAGAAAACGCAGTACCATAGTTCAGGCGGTTACTCGCCAGGTTCGCTGCAAATTTAAAGACTATTCTCTAAAACAGATTGATACACACGACTTGAAGTATTCCTTACGTGAAATGTGTAGCTGCTACTGTGGGCTCAATTACGGGGCCGAAATAATAATACACCTAGCACGGCCTTTAGATGATCAACCTTGGGATCTGAACATCTCGAACAGTAGGTATAATTTAAGAGTAGAATATAATTTCTAACTTCTGTGACTTATTTACGTCCATTACTGCGTGTTTTTCTTTCATGACCATTTATGTATATAATTGCAAGGGGAAATTACCGGATCAGGTCCTCTTTCGTATTCCATGTATAAAAATTCGCACCCTGCTCCGTCAATAAAAGTAAATAACTTCATTCACCAGATAATGGCGACATCTGCATGAGAGATGACGTACTACGTGTTCGTACTAATTGTAATCCATTGACCATGTTGTGACACGGTTACTTATATATTTTCCATCGCGTGATAACGGCTCGATAAACAAGCGAACCATTGCTAGTCAACGGACCACCAGCAAAAATCATTACATTGTTGGAAACGGTGTATTCTATGCGGTCCGTGCAGAAGGTCAAACTCTTAACTGATAGTAATAAAAATACGGTCTTAGGCCCCACATGCGTGCTTAACGCCAAGACAGACTGGCCGACTGACCGTCAGTCATAATATAACTTTGATGAGTCCTGTGGAACCCGGAACCAAGAATCACTGTGCTGGCGAGGGTCAGCAGCAATTTAGCAGTCAGTCAGTCATTCGAGTTAGTTGTCGCCGTGAGTTACTTGTAAGACAGTCGTTAGCCGGTAAAGACGTGATCACAGAAGCAGAGTAAATTATTAGAAGCCGTTACCAGGCAAAGACTGGTGCGGACAAAGAAAACTTTATACACGTATATGCTGCATTACAGTGATTTGTAGTGTGTGGAGTCCGTGAAATTTCTTATAGTTGCTTCTAGTTGCGAGTTATAAGTGTTCAATAAATCCAATTACCAATCTAAACCCCGTTTCTAGTCACTAGCACGTGACACTATATAAATGCCAACGGCAAAGTTGCCTCATGATATGAATGAATATGGGAGAGTGGTGTTGGGTCCCCTTTGTTCTCAGCCTTGGCAATAGATGGAGGTAAGTGATCGGTTCGCGTGCCGGTCGAAAGCCTCCGGTATCCAATGGGTAGAATACTGGGTGGGCTCTAGGGACAGCAATGACTTTGCGAAAAAAAGAGAAATATCTCTGCCCATGTCAAGAATCGAATTCAGAATCTCCTGTCATCTAGCTTGTAGTCTACTCACTACACTGACTATTAATATATTAATTAATCAGGCAATTCTGACAAGGTCTGACCGTTTCAAGCACATCAGAACAGCTTCGAATTAGATTCCTGCAAAATCACTGCAAACCAGCATCATGATAGAAGCTACACCGTGTCTTCCGTTCGCATTAACTGATTAACTCAAGCTGACAGACGGACAAACTGACTAACTGGTAGCACAATATCTGCCTGGTTGGCTGACTAGCTGACTAGTAACTGACTGGTCGATTGGGTGAAGAACTGACTGGATGACTGTCTAACTGACGGAAGAACTGACTGCCTGAATGGAGGACTGACCGGCAGATTGACGGAAAGACTGATTGAATGACTGAGTGACTAGTGGTTGACCGACGGAAGAACTGATTTAATGGCTGACTGACCGACGGAATGAGTAGTGACCGAGTGATGGAAGAACTGACTGACTAACCGGATAAACGACTGACCGACAGACTTACTGGTGATTTACTTGACGGAAAAGCTGATTGACGGATTGCCGGGTGACTGAGAGACTAAGTACTGACTGGCTGAAGAACTGACTGCCTGAATGGAGGACTGACTGGCAAATTGACGGAAAGACTGACTGAATGACTAACTGACTAGTGGTTGACCGACGGAAGAACTGATTTGATGGCTGACTGACCGACGGAATGAGTAGTGACCGAGTGATGGAAGAACTGAGTGACTAACCGGATAAACGACTGACCGACAGACTCACTGGTGATGACGGATTGCCGGGTGACTGACAGACCAAGTACTGATTGACTGGCTGAAGAACTGCCTGACTAATTGGATGCCTTAAAACTCACAATTTTCACGGTACAGCACACGTTTCTACAGATTCTTTCTCCGCTATCTTCTTCAGAAAAGCTGCAAGGCCGGTCAGGCCTCGTGTGCAATGCCTGTCGGGAGCTCTTTTGCTGAGAATAACCTGGACAGAGCAGGAGGAGGAAAGCATATCGAAACACGCAGCGATTTTCTTTCATAATAAATGTATTTCTTCGCGGCGTCATATTCAGGCAAAGAGAAAATTTTGCTTTTTAAAGTATTAAACTCAAGATTTTTGTTAAGTTTGTTTCTTTTATATAATTATTTATTACGAGTGTAAAAGTTAAGAAGGAAGACGGCATTCGAATTCAGACTTCAAAAGGCAAGTCGGAAAAGTGCGACGAAAAATTAGCATCGTTGGGAAAAGAGAATAAAAGGTAAGAAGAAAAGAAAATGTGTATAGAGAGAAATGTATCTTTTGCCGCAGTTGTTTGAACCTAGGGCTGTATCAATCCCACAAGAGCCCACTATGTCAGAGCGACTCATCCCCCACAAAAGTCTCCTTTATCTATTTCCCTCCTCTCAGAAGGCTTTCCTATTCAGCGCTCTGACATTTCAAACGTCGGCTTTACAGCGGGATCGTTTGAACGTCAGACAAGGTGATTTTACCTTTATTTCTTATTTTTCTATTCGTTCTTTATGTTTTCATTCTCCATTTTTTATTATTATTCTTCTTCATGTTATATGAGGCCGGCAATGACAAAGATGGAAGTGCCTCCCTCAGGCTTGTAGTAAATGTACTGCAGAAACGAGACATGATTTAGGACGTCAAATAAATGGTGTGTACCCTGTGATCCACGAGCTGTGCTTTGACATCAAGATTCAATCTGTGCCGAAGGATAATTTCACGAAATAGAAAATAAAATTCTCCAAGTACTGAGAAGTTGGTAGAAATGAAGCAGTGACACTTATTACTGGCTTTTCTCCAGGTATAAAAAGAAACAGAACTGGTGCATTCCACTTTCCAGTACACAAATTTTAATTTGTTGTTGATACAAATTTTGTGGCAGAAAATTTGTTATTTATTTATCGCATCATTAAATCCTTAATGTCACTGAAACAGGAATTCTTCTAGCTCTACGTCAACAATATTTATTTATTTTGCTGTTTGCACAAGACGTAAAAAGAAGACTTAAAAACAGTAAGTTCAACCCTGTAACGAGCCGTGGAGTCCCGTAGGGTTGTGAGACATCGAGGCTTTCAATCTTTCCAGACATTCGCTTCACAGATGGTGGTGTGGTTAACGCCACTAATGCCAGAGTCCGGCTTCGGGCAACACCTCCCTAAGATCCATCTTAAAGCCAGTCCCCATTTTCTTCATAGTCTTCTAAGTAAATATTTTCCAAGAGATCTCCCAACACAAATTCTGCATAAATTTTGTGTCTCCTCCATCCAAGACAAATAAATGCCTGACGTATCGTAACCTTCTTGATTTTCTGGTTTAACAATCCCCTATGGAAGGTAACCTTAAGAAGTTCTCCGTCATGTACGTCTTTATTCCTGAACTGTTCATAATGTGAAAAACAGACCGGTTGCTAGGCAACGACTGCGAAAGAAGCAGCCATCCAACAACAGTTATTGAGTAACGGCTTCGCATACAAACGTGATCCCATGGTAACAACTGAGTTTCAACAATGAGGAACGATGTTTCCTATGTTGTATTTGCCGAAATGTTTTAAGCGGAACAAGTTGGGAACTCAGCCAGTTGAGTGGGGTCACTTGGTTGGTAAGTGACTTAGTCGAGAGATGCTGTAGCTGAGGCCGGGGACAGTTAGGGAACCCAGAGGAAGGGAAACATCCGCCATTGGAAGCCGCTACCGAGCAATGGTTAGGAAAGACAGAATTTATGTGTGCTGTAGCTACAGTGACCTTCGGAATGTCTAACTCAGTGAGGCTGTCGAAGTTATTTGTAATCACGTTCTGTAAGTGTTCAATAGATCCAATTACTAATCCAAGCTCTATCTATACGCACTCAGTCAAGTGACAATAAGAAAACACCCTAATAATAATAATAAATCAGTTCGTGTGTAGAGAAATATTAGACTTTCTGGAAGAGTACGGCTGTAACGCCTTGTAGTTCGGAACATATCACTTCCATATTCAAGACCGAAGATTAAATGAACGTGGAAACCAGCAGAAGCAGGCAACAGGCTGAGTCCTGGCTGCTTCTGTAAGTTTCTTGGAGGCGGTGTTGTCCTCTGAACCGGTGGGCTCTCTCCGAACTAAAGGGCGTTACGGCCCAGGAGGCTCTAGTCACCATCATAAAAATATCGACTCCAAAGAAATTAAACTATCTGGAGTTTAATTTCCCGTAT